AATTATTATACCTTATAGTGTGTTGTTTAAAAACGTCATTAAAAAATATATACTTTAATAATAAAAAAGCACTGTTTGTCAACTTATTGATATTTGGTACAACATATTTTAGACATTCTAAATTCAAAATTTAAAACAATGCTTAAAAATATTAATAAGTTGTTCTCTAAATCTAACTAATAAATTAAACAAGTACAAAAATAAAAAATCTATTAACTGTTACATTCTACCCTAACATAGGAGCGAAATGGGATATTTGAGGTTTTTTTTAACATTGTTATAAATATACATATTCATATTTTAACTAATTAACGAAGCTTTTGGCAAGTGTATTAGATGACAATGTCTTAAGATAAGGGTATATAAGATAATATAAGAAGGCTATGTTCTGCTTGCATGCCTGAGCAGGTTCTAGATTCAATCCAGAATTCAGTTCGTTTTTTATCGAAACCTAAGTAAACTGGTATACTATAGGATTTTCATTAGATTATGTCGTCGGTAAAGCTTTGTTTAATATATTATCATTAAAATTTTCGCAATTATCTGCCTAGTTTTTATAAAGTCATTTCAATATAAAAATATCTTCATTGATTTTTTTATAACAACAGATTTTTGGGATATTTCAATTTATGGGAATTTTTCCATATGACACTTATTTTGGCACTAATAATTTCAACTATACACGTTTTGTAATTTTTTTAAATCTTTTTATATCGTTGGACAAAAATGGTCCAATTAATCGTGTGTTTTGAAAAAAAATATGGCACAGTAAATAAAAAAAGCTTGTTAGCTACGCATCGAAGCTAAATTTAATTGAGTATTGATTTATTATATACTACTTAATATTGATTTTTAACAGTAAAACTTAAATACGACGCTTTTAAATTAATCCTGAAGTAATCTCAATTATGTAGTCTACTTATACATAAAAAATTATATTTGAGAAGAAAATTATTTTTGTTATTTAAAGCAATAATGTTAATATATTCCACAAAACTATTTATGATTAATAAATAGTAAAAATGAATGAATAATACTATTTAATAAAGAAGCATTTATTTAATATGGTTTCGAAATATAATAATTTTGAAAATTTTTTTTAACATTTATTTGAACATTACTATTAATTTAAAATGTAGAATACACATTAGCAACATATTGACAACATAGAAAATTTAACAGCAAGGCAAATTGAAATTTAATCTATTTCATTGTTAAATATTGTCAGGATTTATTAAAAGATTTTTAAATATATATAATCACGTAAAAAACTGATATTATACTTATTCTCAATAATTAAT